AAAAACTAGGGTGCTTGTTTGAGTCACTTCGTCATCACCCTGGTGGCCGAGACGTGGGGGCTTTGACTCGGGGGAGGAGCGCACCATTTCCTCTTGCGTAAACCTAGAGCTCGAATGCGCTCCAACCGACTGCGTCACCGAAGCGTGCTGTCCTGTATTTTCGTGTGCTGTGAGCCGTATTCTGCGCATCATTGCAACCCGCGCATCTCCAAGCAATACGCAACCGAAGAGTTTGTGTTGCGAACTGCGGGCAGAGAAGAGGCGGACCAGCTGGCCCTCAATCTCGGGGCGCAACAGTATATAGAGGAGAACAGGTACTAGGGTTCTCTCCCCGAGGCTCGAAAGAGGGGAAGCCAACAAGAAGCAATAGGGAGCATCAAAAGGTGCCTCGATCGTTTTTTTGTGGTGGACCAACGGCTGGCTAAAGTTCGTCTTTGCTATCCCATCAGCCAACTCAGCCAACTCAGCACTCAGACTCAGCCAACTCCCACTCGCCGCCAACACCGTGCAGCTCCTGCTCTCGAGGAAAGACCTCCCCGGCGCCCCTTCCCTCAAATCGTCAGCCTGCACCAAGCCCTGTTGGGGAAGGCACACCCGCCACCACTGTACCCAGTGCTCTGTCCCAGGTGTACTGTTTGCAGCCTGCCGTCCACTCCGTCTAATACGTGCACCTACTACCTCTCAACTCATACACCTCTAGCACCTACACCTCTAGCACCTACACCTCTAACACCTACACCTCCAACACCTACACCTTTAACACCTACACCACCTTCCCTGCCCTGCCCTCCATTATTATTACTCGCTCGCCGCAGCCTCACTGGCCCGCCAATTTCTCAACTCCGACTGGGACCATCCCTGTGCGCTCCTCCCCAGGACCTGGAACTGGGACCAGCACCAGAGCCGTCTCGTCTCTTTGTCGTCTTGTGTCGCCCTTCCTGGGTTCAGCTTGCCTGTCCTTGTTGGGACGGACGAACGCCCTTTCCGTCCCGTCTCGACTGCTCCCCCCACTACTGCCACCACTACCACCACTACCGCCATTACCACCACCATCCCCGTGCTCTCCTGGGCCGGCGCCAAGCACGGGCGGCAGGCAGATTGGCTGCGTCTTCCCTTGCTGCGGGCCTTAACCCCCTTGGTGAATAGCAACAACCCAGCGCCCATCACCCGCGCTACTAGACTAGCCCCGACCACCAACCACGTCCCGTGGCGGCGGGACACAAGGGAGCCAGGGCCCATCCATACCCCCCAGCACCCAGCTTGCGCCTTGGTCCCACTCGCACCCTTCCCCCTGTCCCGCAGGGCGCATTGGTTCTTTGTATGACCCGGCCAACTACGCTCCAAGTCGTTGTATCCTCTTCCCGCACCCATCCCATTGGAAGCGAAACAGGCACACCCTCCCTCCCTCCGCGGAGCCAGGCCCAGACAGACCAAGAGAGCCTGGCAGCTGGCAGACCCAAGCAACAAGAACCTGGGAAAATCAAAAGAGGAAATCCCCAAGACTACCCGCCTGCTCAAGGAAAAAAAGAAAAGAAAAATAAAAAAGAAATCGCTCCTCCTCCGCGCCATCATCACCCCCCAACACCACAAGGGCGCTGCGGCTGCGCTATACAAGCGGCGGCGACGGCGGTCCTGCCATCAGAGGCACCAGACTACCAGCTCCTTTTTTTTTTCTTTTTTTTCTTTCTTTTTTTATCAGGTACCGGCCGGACAAGACAACTGCGCGCTTGTGGCCTCCACTGGCAAATGTGGGCATATAACTTAGCAAGCGCCTCCCGGCCCGCCATCAAAAGATCTACGCTTTTGAAAAGGCTCCAACCTCGGAGCAGCCACTACCAAGCACCGGCACCACTCAGAGAACCCCAAGCGTGACGCCTTGGAAGGCGTGTGCCGGCGGCATACCAAACCTTGGACCAGGGGCGCACTTTGAGCCGGATACTTCAAGCCCCAAATCCGGGGGCCTCAAACCCTGACAACCCTCACACGAACTCTACCACACCCTCCCGCAAGGCTCGGCAGAGCCTTCCCTGGCTTTCTCCGTCACCAGCAACACTATCTCTAGAGCAGTAGAAACATAAGAGGCGCTGAGCCTCCCCGAGCCTGCCATTCGCGACTTCCTCTGGACTTTGGATACCAACTCGAACCGAGGCTTTTGTTTGGCGACCACTACCACAGCCCGACCTTTGGCGCCCGTCACTTCTCACCACACACACACACACACACACACACACACCATCATCCGCCAGGCACCGAGCGCCTCCAGAACGCCTCTCGGGCAACGCCCACACGCACCTACTTTCTGCTCTAGAGAGGGTTGGTCTTGTTCCATCCCTCTCCTCCCCACGATCGACGACGGCGCCCCCAGAGGTTCCCGAGGCTTCCAGCCAACGCCCTCCATTCCATCCAGCCGTTCTCGTCAGGGGCGCCTCCAACGACCTCTCGCCCACCCTGCCTCGCCCGGGTGCCGACGCCGGAGCCACAGGCCAGGCTCCTGGCTGCGATCCTTCGGGGGACCACGACACCGCCAACGGCAGCAGGCCACGGGTTCCTTGCTCGCCAGCTCAGAACTCCATGGTCGGCGGATTTTCTGGTCACAATATGGATACCCCTCCGGGCTTCACAACTAGGAGACCTGGATCCACGTCGGGGTTGCCTCCCTTGAACAATCTGTCCTCGACGCGTTCGCCCGAGGTTCCAAGTACGCAAAACCATTCCTCTGCTAATGCCTCTACTACTCCTATCGTTTCTTCTCCTGCCTCCCACCACCAGTCCCCCGCAACGGGCTACATGGATCCTCAAGCGCCCTTCCCGCCAGCCGAACGGCCAGGCGCCCTGGGTGCTGCCATCGGACGCTCCGTCTCCTATGGTAGTCATCCTACGGGCCCAGCGTCTGGGCTTCAAGCCCCCCAACATTTGCCACCCGTCTCCAGTGTTCTGACGCCCGCAAAAGGGGTAGCTAGCGAGGCGCTGAACCCACTCTCCTCAGGAATCAACTCTGCCAGCTCGCAAAGCTCCCAGTCGACTTCTCACACAGCCGCGCCGCCGTTTTACCAGCAAGCTGGCTCGTGGCCAACTCCCGGCAGCGGCTCTGGCTACACCCTGAGCTCGATAGCGAGCCAGAACCAGAGCCACAGCCAGAACCAGAACCACAGCCAGAACCAGAACCACAGCCAGAGCCAGACGCTGATGCAGCCGTCGTCGTCACCTTATCATAGCGGCGGCTCGAGGAGTCAGAACTACTCGCCCAGTGTGCCATACGGCAATTTCAGAACCTCGCAGCACTCGACCGGTGCCGATAGCGTGCCCGTACCATCATACTCCCAGGACCAGCTTCCTCCCTTCCCTTCCTCTCTAGGCGGCGGAGGGGGTAGCAGCCTATCAGGAAACCCGCCGACGCTGCCTTCACAGCAGCAAAATTCCATCATGGGCTCCCACACCTCGGTTTCGCAAACCCTGCCGCCCCCCAACTCCTCGAGCGATAGGTATCAACAATCCCCCTACTCGTATCCGCAAACCTCGGGCCCGCCGGCACCGTCCTTTCCGTCCTTCGCCTCGCATTCCTTGTCCTCGCACCCTCCGCCGACAACTTCGGCTGCCATCTCGCGTGGCATGACTTCTATGGGACCCTCTGGGGGTATGATGCATCCACACATGAACTACGCCGGCCCACCCCGGGCCCAAGGGCCGCATCACCCTTACTCGCAGTACGGCATGGGCTCCGTCATGTCGAATATCAGCACCCCCGGCCAGCCAATGTCGATGATGCCAACTGGTGGAATGTACCAAATGCCCCATCATAATCCGCACCCCATGTACCAACAGCACACGGACCCGACCGCGTCGAGACACCAAGACCGGCCGTTTAGATGCGACCAGTGCAACCAGTCTTTCAACAGGAACCACGACCTCAAGAGACACAAGAGGATACATCTTGCCGTCAAGCCGTTCCCGTGCAACTATTGTGACAAGAGCTTTTCCCGTAAAGACGCCCTCAAGGTACGTAGACGATGCCCCTATCAAAATAATTTTTCCCCAAAAAGGAACCAGAGGGGGCTGACTTGTGTTCCCCTTGGAAACCCGCAGCGACACCGCCTAGTCAAGGGATGCGGCAAGACGGCCGAGGATGGCTCGACCACGCAAGTGGGCGGCGAGAGCGTGGAGCCAAGGTCAGACAGTGACGGAACGGTACCTTCACCACCACCACCACCACCGCCGCCACCACAGGGACAGGTGGAGTGAACGAGACATGTCGACGAGGCCCCCGCCCCGGGGAATCATGGTTAGCGAAACGTTCAAGGGTTTAGCGGGTTGCTTGCTTCTCTTTGTATTTGCCTTTGGAGGTTCTGTTATGCTGAATACCTTTTTCCCTTGTCTTTTTCCCCGTGGATGCTATCTATCCCTTTGGGTGTTTTTAACGTGCCAGCCGTTGATTGTTTGTAAGGAATAAGAGTTGGGACAGGACCGGGAACAGGAATGGGAATGGGAAAGGAAAAAAGGAACAGGGATAGGAATAATAATAACAATAGCGACGGCACCAAGAACAACATCAGCCAACAGCAAGGCCACCATCGTGATAGTATGCAGTGTTGCCATATAACATGAAAAGCCTTGGGAGAAAAAGGAACCAGATGAACTTTGAGGGGCTTTGTTTACCGGCCCTAACTTGAAGTAGCTCCTCTTGGGATCCACTGATGATCGGCGCCGTGAGCTCGGGGGTTGGTTAGTGTATCTTGCTGGTACAAGCTTGTGCCTGTTGATCCGGCACCGCATTGTTTTTGTTAACCTGCACGGTAATTATGCTGCGTTTTACGTATGTGCATTTACCGGTATGGTCTACCGTTTTACCGTAACCTGCTTACTACCCTAAAGGCTTTTGGTATGGTCTACATGGGCTTCTGCTTCTTTTTATTCAGAGTTTTCACACCGGCGGGGTTATCACAGTCCTCGTTTTACTCTATTTTAACCAGATCACTCACGTACCTGTCGTGAGCCTCCCAACAATTTTTTTTTTTTTTTTTTGATAATAGTAATGGTAATAACAAGGGGACGGCCTGACGCTGTGGGAGGCGCTTGCGAGTCTCGCTCCGCCACTACATGCCGCCAGCCGGGTGGCTTTCTCGGCTGGGCGCCATGCCACTCTGCTGCATGAACCACTGATTGAGCTACACCAGCCAGCCAGCCAGCCAGCCAACCAGCCGTATCCGACGGGGTGGCATTCCGGAGAGCGCCTTGGTTGGGCTCCCGGTTGCGGCTGAGGAGGAGGGGGCGCCCGACCTCGGCAGTTGGGGTATATATATGCAAACACGGAGGCAATTCTACCGCGAGGCTGTCAAACAATGGAAGCAAAATCATGAGAGGGGCCGTGTCGGGGCACACTTGAGGACGCACAGAGCGGGGGGTGCGCGCGCGCGGTACGGGACCTTTAGCGCCGCCGCTGCAAGCCGACGGGGAGCTGCGGCAGCCTTCCATCACGGCCGGCCCCAAATATATGCGGCCATGCGGTTTTGGGGGGGGGGGGGGGGAGCGTGAAG